TAGTTGCAATCTTTTAAAATTTTACAAATGTCTGAAAATAAATGCGAAACACTTCGAAATATTTCAGATCCTACGATGACGTTGGTATAAAAATAATCAATTACGATATATATATTGTAATATCAGACGACGTAAAAGTTTTACACATGCGGTGGGTGACATTTGATTAATATTATTGTAATACGTGGCGTGTGTGCTTATGTATACTTTATGCGTTGGTTGTTCATAATATGCGTAGTCGCGGGATAAAAAACCGCGCTGTACCTTATTGATGGCACGGAGCCAGCCCTAATTAGAGACGCTTTTACATCAGTATAAGAAGAGAAGAAAAAGTTTAAAAAAACATACATACATACCCCCATGTACATAAGGTCCGGGAGGCCGAAGCTGAAAGAGACAGAACTCTAAAGATAAGTGGTTCTCAATTAAGATTGAAACCACAGACTTTCGACTAAGAAGTAAATTGGAACGGAGATCTCATTTTTCTAAATGCTTATGAAGTAACAAGTTTCTTAAATCAGTTATTGCATTGATTTTTGATTTTCATGAGACGAGTAAAATCAATCTTTTTTATTCATAATATCGTCCAAGTTTGGATACGTGTTAAATATTTCCTCTTCAAACACAAACACGGATTTCATAAAATCTACCCTTCAATTAAACTTATTGAGAATTACTAATAGAGAGAGAAATACACACGCATACTGATGTAGAGATATAGATACACCAAGAAAGAGAGATAGAGAGAGATAGAGAATACACGAGAGTAAAAATAAAGAAAATATCATAAGGACTTTGGCCTCTGGCCATCGTTGTCGTAGCGCGACAGCCAATACACGCGAATTACGCGTTCGTGCACACGGATAGGTACTAAAACCGTACTAAGAATCGGCTGCTTGTGTTCACTACAAAAAGATTCGTTGAAAACAATTTTTCGGACAGCTATTCGCCTGGTCAGTGTTCAGATTGGGTGGGCAGCATCAGAAGTAGTCGAATTGGTTCCCGTTTGAAAAAGGTATTTCATTAGGTCTAGTCGATTTAGTTCCCTTTTGTAAAAGGTATTTTATTAGTTATAGCCGAATTCGTTAGGTTATATGTACAGGTAAAATAGTGACAATTTTAATTTTTAACACAATTTACCTACACTATTCAAAATTAAAATCCAGCGGGTCTGTGCATAGAGAGAAAAAACAACATTTTAAAAGCTATGTGTATGACATAAAGACAGAATTATTATATCGATAAGATAAAGTATAGAAATATAATACACTATAGATTACTAGAATCTAGCAAATTATCGATATTAAGATAACGATTGAGATATAAGAACTTATATTGCTGTATGGTATATCGTATATATCCTATGTACGTATGACAATAATGTTCGTGAGCATTGTAGTCTCGAATAACGCATCGTTATTTATACTCCTACCTATAATATAACCTATATAAAATAGTTTTCGCTCAAACATCGATCGTATTTTAATTTATATTTTTTAATTTTAATTATTCGTTATTATGGAGTTAATGTTTAATGAAAAGGGAACTAAGTTATTGATTATTGACTGTTACAAGTTTGGGTTCCAAAAGAACCTTGTAGATAACATACAGAGGTGGATATGTACGAAACGAAAATGTAAAGCTTACGTGAAATTGAATGGAGATTGTTTCTGTGAATTAGTCTTAACACATAACCACGAAAAGGAAAGGAAATTGTAAAATTGTATTTATTATATTTTATTGTTTGTATTTACAGTAATGTCAAGTTGACTTCCAAATCAACAATTTAAAATTGTAGATATTTTATCATTTTTTTTTAACACACATTAACGCACATTTTTAACCAAGCCTATTTTAAAGTTGACAGTCTTGTGCAGTGGCGTAACTGAGAAAAAATCTAGGGGGGGCAATATAATATATTTATTATTACCAAAACCCTGACATCCCTCCCCCTCAACAGTTAAAACATATTTTTATTGTATTTATTTTATACAGTTTATCTAATTGTTTGATTTTACATAAGTCTTTTAACTCATTTTGTGGTTAAGATGTGAAGATTAACATAAATTGTAGGTAGCAGGTACTAGGTACCAATATTGTTAAATAATACCCATGAGTTCATTCATAAAAGGTGCTATTTGTGCTGTTGAATTATCTGGGGGGGGGGGGGGGGGCAAAATTATACCTTTATCTCTCAAAAAAATTGTCTGGGGGGCACTTGTCCCCCTTGCCCCCCACAATTACGCTACTAGTCTTGTGCCTATAAAATTGAGAAGGAAAATGTGCGTAATTAAACGAGAACCAATTTGGCTATACCTAATAAAATACCTATTTTAAATGGGAACCAATTTGGTATGTGGGTTTGGAGCTCGGGAACCAATTCGATACCAGCCATTTTATCATGTATATTGACAAAAATAAATAATTTTTAAAATAAGTTTTAATATATTTACTGGTTAAAAATAAATAGTTAAATAATCTTTAACTCGAGATGGAAAAATGTACGATCTCAAAGGATTCTGCCTTATCAAGGTTTTACTGCAATACATAAATATGTTTTATAGACTATAACCAAAAATGTATATACTATAAACTAATTATACTATTTTATTTGAATTCTAAAAATAATATAATAAAAAATGTATTCATCACTCTAATTATTTATAAATACATCTGACTAATAATTATAAAATATTAAATAAATATGAATTATTACAATTATATAGTTAATAAGTTCTAAAGCTTTTTTTAAATGTGGTTATATATAAATTAATAAGTAATTTTACAATTTTTTATGTAAGGAACAGTTCTATGTCATTTCCTACTTAAGTAGATGTTTATTTTATTTTTTATTGCTGTTTTAAATTATAATTTTATACATTTTTTTTATAAAAATGAAATATTAAAAAATTTAAATAAATTTCTTCAAATTTCAAAACTTTACTTGTAACGTGTGAATCTGAAATGATACTTGAATATTGTCTGGAATTGAATACAATAGAGACCCATATACACACGCATAGATAATGCGACAACATTTTAGTAGTTGTGTCTGAACTTACAACCATAGAATGAGTTAATCAGAATTAACATTTTTATTCGAATTAGTTATGTAAAACTCTATGGTTAATAATAAAATCGTCATTCTGATTTTAAACTCCTGGCCATGATATTCAATTGCGATTATTGTATTATCTCATTGTGTTTATATAGTATACCTTCTCAATTTGTTAAATTAAATATATTATACATGTACAGTTCGTCCAGACGCGCATATATAGGTAAGGAACGGTTTTGACACTTTTATTATTATATGTAACATTGATCCTTAAAAATATTATAATTTGACCGAAATTTCAAACCGTATTCTTCTGGTCATAATGTACTTCAAAAATATTTGATTAATTATTGTGGTTAATTGTGTTTGATTACGTACTGTAATTTATTTTATAAATAATATGAACCTAATATATGCATATTATTTTCGAAGAAGTAGTTTATTGTTCATCATTTTTTATACTTGTTTTTCTTTCATAAAAGAAAATTAATTCCACAAATGGGGATGTATACGAAATTGCATATACGTTTACTCCTTGTAATCGTTTGCGCAAGTAATAGTACCAAAGTACATATAGATTTTTAAAACGCACGGTTACATATAATGCACTTTATAGTTTCGACGATAACGACTATCTATTTGAAATATTTTTATGTAAAACGTATATATATTCGTGGTCAACTCAACTTAAATGAGTGTTTTTGAGTGATCACCGCTTGGCCGATAACTTGTACCCATTAATTAACAAATGATTAATACATTTTTATCCGGCGAAAAAAACCCAGATAACGCGAGAAAAAACTGTCGTTGACATTGCGATCGGTCAAGGGAATTCAGGAAAATTTGCATTTCGACAACAGTCTAGTTCGTACACGTTTCATACCACTATAATAATACAATAATACTATTATAGTACTTAAACGCAACGGCGTCGGTGGCAGAAACGCACAGTGTGCCGGCAGCGCGCGACCCGAAATACCGGTGCGTCGTGCACACTGGTCGATCGTTACGTACGCACTGTACCATTCGGCGGCGCGCGGAGAGGGAATAACACTATAAGCTGCGGTGACCGTTGGACCCGCACCCCTGCTGCTGCCATCCCCACCATGGGTCGTGTGCGTCACGCGCTGCGCGCGCCGCTCCGGTACGTTGTCCGGATTCTTTTCGCCATTCTTGGCATTCCACGAACAGAGCGCGGGTTTGTGTTTACCAGTTGAATACCGTGCGTAAAAATTGGACGTCCGCACACAACAGGCCGGGGCCAACGACTTACGCACGCACGCACGTACGTTTATTTATTTATTTTTTTTTTTAATGCCGTTTTTTTTTCTTGTGCACGACGCGTACCGCGAACGATAAGACTGCGCTGAACAAACACATACACGCACTGCCGTTGTGCCGGGGTAAGTTCAAATTTTTATTTTTTTTTCCACGTACATTGTCGTATTGAATAGATAAGTATGAATTTTTTTTTTCAATTTTTTCTCAAAAAAATGGTTGTCCCGGCGTAGACATCGTGGTAATGGTAGCGTACGATTTCATATATATAACGGTCTGTGTTAAAACCGCGAGAAGGGAGGCGAGCGCGACAGGATTGATATTTTTCGCGGTAACGTATTGCAGTAATACTAGATGTATTATAGATAAGTACTTGTGTATTTTTTAATATATATGCAATCAGTATTGATATAATGAGATTTGGCGAATTTTGTATTTTTCCTAACTGTCGGCGGCGGGACGTGTCGTATTCGCCGCGGCGGCGCGTGTCGTAATATTAATAATAATAATAGTAAAAATAATAGTCATAGTAATAATAGTAGCAATAATAATAATAATAATAATAATATTTCCACCGCCACCGTTACCAGTCACCAGCAACCGTTGCCGTCTCCTCCTTCTTCTCAGGCGCCGTAGCTGTTGCCTGACGCGGGAACTGCCTCGCGCCAGTCACTGTCAGTTAGTCGCCGTTTTATCATCGTTGTGCCGCCTTTTTCGTCGTCGACAAACGACGACGGCGACGAGTGCGTTTTGTTTTTTTTTTTTATGCGTTTTACCAGTGCGTCGCGCGCTCAATTTTCTTGTGAATAAGGATCGCGTGAACGTTTTGTCGTCGCCGTAGTACAGGTGAACTATTGTCGACCGTGCATGCACAAGGATTTCAACGTGATCCGGTCGTTGCATAAATAACAAAATAACGAAAAACGTAGGAAACAAAAAAAAAAAAAAAAACACCCTCAAATATTCGCACTCAAAGGACGCTCCCCTCCTATCAGGTAAGAGTAGCTCTATAACTTGCGTCCGTACGATTTTATAAAATAACGGTCATAGAGCCAAACATTACCTCACCTCGTCGTTGCCTACAAAACGAATCCCCGTTGATCATAATCGAAACTATTTCGAATTTTCTGGGGGATGGTATTTGATGTATTTGTTACCCAGTTCAAAATCTTTGTAAAAAAAAAATCTGCTTATTATACTATTATAATAATTCTCAATAAAAAAGTCCTGGTGAAGTGATTTATATTCATTTTCATCGTTTAATGTACTTTGTGTCATTGTTCTTGTAAGCATTTGTTATTGCGTTTATTGTTAAATATTTATAGTTTGTTGCTCACCCGTAAACATGTTTTATCTGTTTGTTGATAAAGGCCCACAGAAGCCTGGTTAGGCTTTATTAATTTGTATTATATTTGCTCGTTGCTTTTCATGACGACTTTTTAAGTCGAATAAGTTAGACGTCCAGTACCAAAACAGAGTTTGTTCACTATTTTATGATTTTGAAATCAATCGCTATACATTTTTGCTTTCAAAAAATGCTATATAAAATTGCTACAAGAACCTCATAGAAGGATTTTATAATTTAGAAACATAACGTATCTTGTACACGTTTTAAATACCTCTAGTTATAAAACATTAGTAATTCGAGTTTTGTAGCGCTTTGGATTTTTAAATCAAAGAATTGTTTTGATCGTCTGGATCGTTAAATTTTAATAAAATTCGTTAATGATGACCACATGTAATTATATATATTTATGTAAGTACCTAAGTACAATAATACGAAAATTGTGTGCGTAATTGTTTATTTGTTTTATACTTAATCACATGTGTTGGGTGTACCGACAATATATTATCTCATTATAGCTTTTTTTTTTTATATATATATTTTATTCGTAGTTAAAAAACAGAGAAATACTGTTGATTGTGTTAACAACTGTCGTATGTAATATTTATAAATCGCATAGTGAATATAAAATGTTTTCTTTGTAGTTTTTTACGTAGATACCAACGTATCTATACTGTATACATGTATACACAAATTTAAAGTGTGTAAATATGATTTGTATTGTATATATTATAATTATTAATTATGCATTTGTAGTTATGTTGAGTCGTGATCATCTAACTGTTATTGTTTATTTTTTTACTAACCTTTTACTAATTTTTACTAAACTTAGATGCCAACGATATGTGCTATTTGTTGTGATCGATCAACAATTAATAGTTTTTAATTGACATCCTGATGTTCTTATAACCTGTGTACACAATATTATAGATAGTTGCCTGGCTAAATTTCGTAAATTGGGTTTGTGATGATTACACTTTATAGTTGTATTTAAAAAATAACTAATTCTACGATTCATATGTAATACATTATTACTAATATTATTACTATACTAGTATTATTACTAATAATATATGAAATACCATCCTTACAAATTGTTATGCTTCTTTTCGAAACAACATTATTTATGACAGTTACTAGCTATATTTATTATATTTATATATAAAAATAACAAGTTGTTTCTTATAATTTAATGAACTTTATTTAAGATTTTCGTTGTTTTTCTAGAAGTTATTTTTAAAATAGTTTATTTTATGCCAATATTAATAATTATTGTATATTTCGAATAAAAATGTAGTTATTGACTTATAAATCGAACCATGTAAGAAACTAACATCTTGACAGGTATGGTTATTATTTATGTTTATCATACGCGCTCAAAGATAAAATTAAATGAAATTCATTAATTCAACTAGTGTGTTAACTTTAAATTAGTTGAAAACGTTGAACAGTCTTCGAATGATATACCGAATTGATTACTATTTATTACTTGAGCAACTATGATTTATTTTTCACATAATTATTTATAGATGTTTATATTTTGATTGTTCAACAAATTTAGACAAGTATTATATAAATTATATTTTGATAAATAATTAATGCCTTTCATACTTTTACTGACTGATATTAAATATAATTTTGTCAAATAATATATTTGTTACATAGTATATATTTTGTAAATAAGATTTAATTAATTTAATTTCTAAACTATATGTAAATTTAATAGAAATTGTCTATGACAGAATCGGGGAAACCAAAGAAATGTTTCTTCTTTCTATCATATTTACTGTATAATTATTGTGAGGAATCAATTGCAATATTTAATTAAGACAGGTTTCCAATTACTCAGATTATGTTTTACCTATGTTTTTGTATAAACTTCGATATAAATATAGATTATAAACACCTTAAACTAAGACAAATAAAAAAACGCTTGTTCGTTTTATAAAATATTTTAGTACGTCTGTAGTTTGATTATTAATAAATTATTAGCTTCATTTTATGAAGTAATTTAGTTCATAACAATTCAAGTAATAATTATTTTATTTAAGTATACTTTAAATTAGAAAATAAACTCAAAATACATTTGATCTGTAAGTCACCATTCTACTTGAATCGATATTATCGTTATATTAAACGTCTTCAAGCGTGAATTTATATACTATTATACTTTTATATGCTTGCCATACTGATCATTAACACAATAATAATAATTGAAAACAATAAGTTGATTTATTCTTGTAAGACTATGAAAATATGTAAATATACATGTATACAATGTCTTAATTTGCCTCCAACGTATTCAACAACATATCAAACTGGTGAATTATAGTATAAGAAAAACGAGAGCCCTTAAAAATATTTTATTCATGATTTCTCTTGTAATTTCTTGAGTTCTTGACGTTTATTTAATTTTAATCTAACATGATTTAATTTTGTATTTGTGTATTTTTTAATGTTAATGTGTTTTGACTTCTTAACCTTATTTTTCGGGTGACTACATAAATTGGGTTCTTTAAATCATATAAGGGTTCTATCATCTTGATTATCATTATTTAAAAACCCTGAATTAGTGAACCCGACTTATTGCTGTTAGAAGTGAATTTTGTCTTGTTTAGATAGCTAATATTTATCACAATAGTAAACGTTTAACAATAAAATCTCGTAGACACATACTTGCAGTTGTACATTTTATTTTTAACTACGAATAATACGGATGTTGAAGTTTATTTTTTATTTATTTTCCATTTATTCTTTATTATTATTTTAATTGTTTTGCAGTGAAGTACCTGTCTAAATAATAATTTTAGATAATGTGATTTATCAACAACGCAGTATGGTTAAAATTTAAAATTAGCCATAAACAGTTGTATATAATATTTTAGTTGTTTTTTAAGTTTTAATAATTCATAAATTAATTTCAGTGTGTATATTCATTTATTATTAAAAAAAAAACTGTGGAGTAAAAAGTTATCTAAGTATTTATAAGCACTGGATGGTAATATTATAAAGGTAATTCATAGTTTATTCGAATTGAAATTTTAGATTTAAGGAAGTCAATATTTTCGTGATACAATATTTCAAACTTTAAATATCTATTTCTACTTATAAGGTTTCTACAAATTTTAAAAATAAGTTTTGAACATTTGATTCGTTTCTTTTCGAATAATCAAAAAATTTAGATATTTTTCAAGGGATTTTGATATTTTCGTCATTTTTGAAATTAATCCTACTTATACAATCATTTCTTATAAATTCCATTTAAAAAAATGTATTTTTCTAATTATATAAATACGATTTTCTATTTATAATTTATTATCTTCTACAGTTATATATAAATCATTTGTACTACAAATTTACATTACAATTTTAGTTTTCATCGATCATAAAATTATTACTTTATATTTGACACTACGTGTGACATATTCGATTTTTAAGAATTTATCGATGTGTGTAGATATTGTATTATATTGAATTAATACATTTTAGTTTTTTAATAATTTTAACCATATCAATGTAATAATAAAATAAGTTTTTTATATTATACAGTTATTAATAATGTTTGTTTCATTTACTATATAAATAATATATTTGGACACGATTTCACGGCATTATTAATCGACTCGTGTGTTTCGATTGACATTCAAGTGTAATATCGAAATAATCGCAAATAGATACTTATTTTAATAGTATCCAATTGAAAATTTTTGTTAGCAAATAAAACAAATTTATCGGGTTGTTCTTTTATTCATTCATTGTTAATTTTTCACTGCACTTGTTTGTAGGTTGACTATCTTTTAGTCGTACTCGACAAATCGTAACCGGTACTGTTGTCGTTCGTAATGTAAAACCGGCAACAGCGCTTTAGTGGCATCGCATACACGCGATTCAATTATCGCGTGTTCAGGTGCTCAGTTGCTTGCTCTATAGTGTATTTTACGCATGTATGTGTAAACTAGGAATCGTGATGTTTGACGACTTTTGCTCGGTAATGCTCAGTTAGTAAGTTTTTTTTCTTAGACCTCCGTATATTATAGTATTTTGATTTGTATGCAATAGTTAAAAACGAATGGTGTTTCATGCTGCACATATGTGTGAACGCACGTGTTTTTTAACATATAAACCTATATGTGTATATACACCATAACAGTTGCGTCTCAATAATAATTTACCGACAGATTGCATGCATTTCAAGATGTTTAATAGTATGATAAACATTAAATATACTTTTATACTTCGTTGGTTTAAGGGTAGCTAAGTTGAATATTTATGAAGATGCATATACATGGTTTTCCCTTCTTTTTTTGTTATTAAAACGTACGTGTTTATTTTGCAATTACTGACTTGAAAATTGTATAACAGTTGCATACGTCACATTTGTAGTCTAAGTAACTGTTGTAGTTGCTCGGACTTGAAAAACCGGAGATTAATTTTGTTACTTATAATTTAATTTTTACCTATTAGCAGCCGCACAAATGTTTTCGGGTTTTGATACATATGCCAATGTCTTAAAGTCCGTATATAGAGCTAAAGCATTAACCTTTGTTTTATATAATCTAATTTATTTCCATTATTCGTTTCTATTAACAACACCGATATAAACTACCCGGTACGAAAGTGGCACTTTTTCGGCGTTTATTTACTTAAGTATTTGGTACTCGTAATTTTCTTCATTGATAGTGCTTCCTTCACATTACAGAAAATCATCTAATAAATTACTTAACGCCAAATTTATTTTATAAATAATATTTTTACTGATTATTTTAGCTACCAAACACTATATAATATTATATATATATACTAATTATTCAAAATATGTAAATATTAATTATTATAAATGATAACATGTAGATATATTAATAAAATTAGTTTCTCATTGTAGGGCAAATTTACTATGCACAGTCGAGTGGTACACAAAAATAGTATACTCTTATATACTCATTAAATTAAATTTGTTATTTATAAATTCAACAAATAATGCATAATTTGATTAGTATGAAATTCTATTATCAGACATAATGCTTACTAGCTTACCTACAATTTAGATAAACATGTTTTTGTTCATTATATGTTAATCATAATTATATTATTTAACCGCCTCTACACACAATTCGGTTATCGTGTTTTATTATTTTTTGATTACATATAATATTACACTTTTCATACTTCTTTTTATATTTATTCCGTTTCCATATCAGTTATTTGTATCTTGAAATTCGAAAACAGTTAAATGTTTCTCATCATTTCGCGAAAGAATCCTGTAGTAAAATATAATATGTAATGAAAATAATATAATAAGCCTTTATGTATAATAATAAAGTTGATTTTTGAATTGGTCTTTTATTTACTTATAGATAATTATAGATACTTATAGATAATTCACTTTGCGCCAACAAAAGTATACAATCTGTATGTTATTTACATTTTATCATGGTCCAGTACCAGTAGTAGTTAAAGAAGATAGTAGAGAGAAGATATAAATACTGTCAGAAATACTTACGGGTTGAATGTTTTTTATTTAACATATTAAAATCGTTCAAAAAAAATGTTTAAAAGCTTTTCGTAAATTTTCAATGTTATAAATAATATAAATATATTAAAAGAGGAAGACGAAAAAATACACATGCATGTGTGTGTTAAAAGGTCTCAAAATATACACCAATAAACCTCGGAAATGAAGGTATATTAATGAAATGTGTATTGAAGTGTGCGTACTGCCCACACTTCCTCCATTTTCAAAATACCCGAATAATCCAATTATTGCTTAATACGTGAAATATTACTTGGATTATGTTTTGTATACCGTAAGTTAAAAAAATGGTAAATTTTAATGTGTAGTTTGTTAACCGCTTAATTTTCATTATTGCAAAAGTGAAAGATTTATTTTTTTCTTTATGTGTGTAGTTCTGAAATTTTATAATACAAAACAGTGGATCAGTAATTTTTCAAACAAAATTTAAATTCAGTATAAAATACAATAACAAAACCAATTAATTTTAAAGAATTACTTAAATAAATATAATTGATTTAATTCATGTATATAAAAGTGATGATGTTTATGCGGGTATATGTATGATACATGAACATCGCATAAATAATTAAATCATTATAGAATATTTTGGATATTTTTAATAATTTCAGTAAATCAATATCTTGTTTTTAGTTTAATACTTCGTATTATATTTTATTTCAATAAAAACGTATCTTTGTTGAACTTATTTAATGTTTTGTATAATATATACATAAATTTGTTGTTGAAAATGTAAAACATACATTTTTGGCGCCACTAAATTCAAATACTTAATATTTTATAGAGTAAAAAAAAATAATATAATTACAACGCGTTTATTCGTTATATATATATGTGAGGTATGTATGGACGTGATTGATACTTGTTAGCACAGTCTCATTATTATGGTGTTAATTCTCAAAAAAACACTCGCCGTTTGTGTATCATTGCGTCGAATTTGAAATTATTTCATTATATCAATTTTCCTGCTAATTGTATATAGATTCGTGTACGTGTTTTTTAGTTTAAATAAAATAATGCTTACAATTCATGAGCATAATATGATAAGTATACTACTAATTGGTTATAAACACACTATTAATGTAATAATAAAATTGTTCTAACCAGATTGAAAAACCAACTTTCTTGAGACATTATTGTGTGATTATACATTGCAAATGTACTGTAAATCTCACAAGGTCACCCTCTCTGTACAATATGTGTGTATATTAGTGATGGGTTGAACTGTTCGAATCTCGAACCGAACCGAACCCTTGACGTTCGGTTCGGTTCGAAAATCGAACTTGAAAATATTTTTCGAACCAGACTTACTGGTCACGATAGTTCGAAAACCAAATATTTGTACAGTTCTTCAAAAGTTATTTTGAAAAATAAAAATTGATAATGATTATTTAAAAATAATTAGGCTATTAGCGATAGAAAGTGATAATTTGTAAAGGGCACGTTATGCATTATTTATGATAATAATGCTATAATAATAATGTTATTTTCCAGTCGCATGTTACCATCCACCCTCCGCCGACCAAAACATTAATAAGTTGTTTATCGCCAATAGAGGCAGTGTATCTACATCCATAAATTAGCTATTTTATAATATTTATTGTAGAGGTTAAAATCTATTTTGGGTAAATCCATGGTAATATTCCGATACCGCGACTGTGTTGCTAATAAAAACATATTTACAACTTACGTTTTACATTGTAAATTCTACTAATCATTCTATATTTGTGAATTATAGTTATTGTTACCATTTTTTTATATATACGAGTATAATTAAAATATACTAATTGTATTGTCATATTACACTCAATATTCAATTCTCAATGAATATTTTATAAGCTACAAGACAACATGAGAGAGCACAATACTAGTTTTAAAGTATAATAATTATAATAATAATAAGAAATTTTCTAAAATTTAAATGTATTGTAAATAATACAATTACTTAGACTTAAAAGTTAAAATGTAGAATAGGTAATACGAAAACTTAAAATACAATAGTAATTAATAATTATGGTTGATTTAATTTGTAGGTAGGTACAATGTACATGATAAAAAGTATTGAATTCGACTTAAAATCATAATAGGTTCGGATCGGTTCGGTTCGGTAGAAAATATGAAGGTTCGGTTTAGTTCGAGTTCGAAAAAATAATTTAAAGTTCGATTTAAAAAATCAGGGTTCGACCCATCACTAGTGTATATAACAGTTTTTTTTTCGTGTATTATGTAGGTATATTAGATTATAATGTTTTTTTCGATGGTCTACCTATTGCTAAAATCAATCTAAAGTATATTTTTGCACAGGGAAAAATATTAATAAAAATTTTTATTTTACCAATTTTGTTTTAAAATTAATAAGATCACGGGTAAAATAATCTTCTTTTAAATAGTATAAACAAAAAAAAGTTTATTTTATGTTCATAATGTATTATTTAATATAAATAAAAATTTCAAGTACCCACATTCGTACATTTTAGAACTCAATTTGTTAAAAATATTAGAGACAGAATGATAATTAATGTTGATGGCAGGTTATATAGCCTATATAGCAAAATGGTATTTATCAATAAATATCTTTATCACCGAAATTTCTATAATTGTAATTGTTGGTTTAATAAGTTTGAACTTCATTATAAAAAAAAAAACACTTTTTTTTTTTAAATTCAGACGCATGTCTTAAAATTATATATCATGCAACAGTTTTATACTCGCTATCAATATTATCAATTATCGTTGGTGGTAACTAAAGTCTTGGATTTAACAGTAGTTTATCTAAATACATATTTCATTAGTCATTATAATACATATCTAAATAAACACTTATCTTAATTTAAAAGCGCTATTTATAATATAAAGTTAACAAGACAATATATATATGGTAATAATGATTGTGCTAATCTCACCAAAAATTTATTTTACAAAAAAAAAAAAATGATTAAAAAATGTTTTTAATTTAATTTAACGATTATTATATGATATTCTAAAAGCCGTGTTGAGATTTATTATTTTTTTATGTTTAAAATACATTGTGGCAATGCATTGTTTGACCAAGTATTGATTTTTCATTATAGATTTAATATAAACAAAGTTTATTTGAGGTTTATTTTTCATGTAAAATACATGTCTTTACAAAATCACAAGAATACATAAATATACATAAGAATATATCAATTATATTTAAGTTTTAAATTTATTTTATTTAAGTCTTTATTTCTAATATCATGAACAAATAAATTAAATTAGTTTAATAAATACTAATCATTTTATAATCCCGGTGATAATATATATTTTTGGAAGTTAATAACTGTACTACTAATTTCGTATCAAACCATCATGAAGTATCATTACTTGAAAGTATCGTTCCCTGTTTTGTTTAAATAATTGTGTAGGTTATTACTTTTTGAATAATTTTCTGTTGAACACTAAAATTCTGTCCACAGTAATGTTTTCTTAAGGAAACAACTTTCAGTGTTTTTAGCCTTATAGAAACATTAATCTAAGTATTTGTGTATATTATATAATAATCGAAATGTTGTTTACATTAGAAATCGCAAAAAGTCTTTAATCATTAGTGCTTGCCGTGTGTCTGCTAAACTGTGATTCGCTAACTATTAATATCTTTATGGTTGATTGCCAACAATTGAAGCGATGATGATCCCTTCGCGGTATAGTAGAACAGTTATCTAGAATATTTCGTAAATATTTGATTTTGCGCGATTTTTTATAATATAATAAATATTGGTACACGTTATAATAAGTTTTGAAAAACAAGTTTTCTATTTTACACAATCATATTATAAACAACTGACATTTATGTACAATAATGATGATTCATACGATGACCACCCATCGAGACTGTATCTGTTATTTTACGATTATTATATGATTACAAATTTAAATTATTGTAAGTAATTAATTTTATCATTTTTATTTTACTTCCAGGTCTAATATTCAACTGTTGATATTGCTCCTTACCATATGATGGGAGTAACTGAAGGTGAGTACTTAACTATATATATATTTAATTTAGGATTATAACTAAAAGTTGAACGCAAACCATTATTGAATATGATTTTAGAAATGAAACCTTACTTAACAGTTAAAATAATAATTATCTGATAATTATACTCGTAATAATATTACTATAGTAATATACTTTTATACTAATATTACTCGATAAATATTATATTACGATGTTTCATTAACCTCTGCGGAACGGTCGCTGTTTAAATATATATTAAAAACTTTCGTCTGGCGATAAGCATTTATATTATGTTGCATTGATATCATTATTGTGACGTAATTAATGCAATGCTTATATTCATATCTACTAAAGTTCAATGGTAAATGATAATATTTTAAAAACGTTTATTTATTTGGAGAACTTTGAAATATAATTAATAATACAAGGGGTGTAATTCACTTACAACATTTTTCCCTTCATCACATACATTGTTTCCACACTGTTTGCTGAACAATAAAATGAAAAAAAAAATGGTATACTTTTTCTGTATCCTTATATCTGATCGTTTTTAACCTCCTTTTTAATGCAGAATATTTTTCATCCGAAATCTTACAATTGATTGAGCGAAATATGTATAGTGTGTTTCAAGCGTCCACTAATAATAACTTATCCCTTGGTTTATGATATATGGTTAATATATCGTATTACCCACGGACCTCCCTTATACATTAATAAAATTGGTGATTATGTGTGAATAAAATTATTTTTTCCGATTTAACCAAGCCAAAATAAAAATAATGTTGTATACATTAAACAGTGTGACGTCATTAGTAGAATCAATAATTTTGTTCAAACTGTAACCATATAATGACAGTTATTAGTAATGTGTTATTATAATGATTACATGAGAGAAGGGAAATTTTGAAGTCTATATGAAAAAATAATAAGGTGAAGGGCAAATAAAAATTTTTATTCGATTTATTATGTCATTTCTCAACAAAAATGTAAAAATGTTATGTTTTAATCACTCGTGTTAAAGGTAGATAAACCTTATTATATTGTTAATATATTAAGCACCTTTTTTAATTAGCTATCACAAGATAATTATTTCTGTACATACAAAAATAATAGTTATTTACAATGTGTTTACACTTTTTTTTTAGAGTTATTTACATATTTTTAAAATTAAATTATATTATTCTGAGCTCTCTATCTTATAGTATTATTATTGTAAAATAAAAATAATTAAGTTCTTGTATAAAAAAATATTAAAAATAAAAATAAAAAGTTTTAATTTCCTCCTTCTACAAAAATCGCTAACTTTCCAGCCCTATCACGATGTGCGTTTAGGGCTATCTGTCGCTGGATACTTTGTAATTTTTAAAACTGTTAAATTGCAAAACAAAAATTGGATTTTTCATTCGATTAATGAATTGGAATTTTCCAAACTAACGTAATAAATATTCTCATTTTTATAGTCAAGTGATGTTTATAAATGATTTTTTTAAACTACCTGTTTTTTATTACGTTTTTTATATTTATATTTATTACAATTTATCTTGAAATTTAGCAACATAACCCAGTTATGTAACTATAAGGCATATTTTCATATATATATATATATATATATATATATATATATATATATATATATACAGTGTGTAAATGGTAATGGATAACATTCAATATATTTGCGTAGAGACCAGCAATTTGAATTATGTTTTTTATAACATAAAGATACACATTTTTTATGACCTTTGAATGTTACAACTACTTATTATTTTTTCTTGATTTTTTTTTTTAATGAATTTTGATAGTTAAACCAACTTTCTATGTCTAAAATTAATCAAGTTACTACAATTAAAAAAAAAAAAAAAAAAATTGGTAAAATGCGCGTAATTTAAATTTTTTTTTAATTGTAACTCTGAAAATAATTATTATAGGATTGTTTAGGCTAAACATTTTCATTTTTATTTGTTATAGTGATATTGACACATAATTATACTTTTAACTACTTATTGTTAACTTTCACTTTAATTAAATTAAATTTATTACTTGTAGAAGAAAAAATGTAAATATGTTTCTTATTTGTTTCATTACATTTAATGGATTTATTGAAATTTATTAATAATTAAAAATAAATTCTCATTTAAGTTATAAGTTTATTTAGTTATTAATTATTTTAACGTATAAATTGTTCAAATTGTTTTCCGCCATGAAAAAAACACGATTCAGCATACATTATTTGTAACATATGTAATTTGATCAACCGTCACTTGATTGCATGCTGTTATTATTTTATCTTTTATATTTTGAAGATTTATTGATGATTCAACATACACAATCGTTTTTAAGTGATTCCAAAAAAATAAATCTAGTGGCGTAAGATTACACACCGTAAGGTGATTTTGGTGGCCACTTAAAGAGTTCCTAATCATTGATTTGGAAACTGTTAATTTAAATGGTCGCGAACTCTGAGCATTGTGAGCTGGATTGTAGTCGTATTGAAAAATAATATTTTCTCTTAATGCAAAAGGAATATCATCAAGCATCATCAGTAGTTTATTTATTACATTTTTATGTTATAACAAACAACTGAAAAACAGAATTCAAATTTCAGGTCTCTACGCAAAGATTGTTCTTAATTAGGGTTAACACACTGTATATTTATATATATATATTGAATTATTTATGAATTTTAATTGTTTAATTTAAACGGTTACTAATGGGCAAATACTTTTTTTTTTCGTTCATGAAATGTTTCGAGTATAAATATTATGTTAAAAACTCTTGGCCTTTCGAAACTTAAATATTGTTAGAATACAATTCCAAGATTATTGTGTTCTAGAAAACGTCAAGAAAAATATAAGTGAAAAAAATGTTATTTTTTAATTTTTTAAATTGTTCAATATGTAGAACAGTTATCTTGGCTTAAAACCAAATGAATAGCAACACAAGAAATTATTATTTATTAGTTTTTTTTTTTAATGTTAATCGTTAAAATGTAAATGTAGACATTACATAACACTAGTCAAATATGTATATCGCTAGACTCCATATTAGAATAATTGTTCACTGTTGTTGATTAGGATGCTGTCAATTTTTTTGATATATTTAGAGTAAATTGAACTTTTTTGATTTTAGATTTAAATTACTGAATTGAATTAACTTTAGCCTTATTATTTTGATTTCTCTTTATGCATTTATAAACTAATGACCAATTTAATTGTATATTTTGCAAACACTAAATAGAAATATTTAGTAGGTACCTTGTTTGTTAGGTTGACGAAAACGGAATTAATATTTTATTTGCTGTTATTTAATAATTATATCATTTATTACCTCCTATACCTCATTGTGCAATGATGATTTATGTATTTTATTTATATTAATAAATAGAAAGCTTGATTTTTGTAACTATCAAATGTTGTTTCTCTAATTTAATCTTATTTAAATACTTTTGTACATAAATGTTTGTAATAAATTGATTAAATAATTGTATTAATTATAGAATATTATACATATCATATCTGAGTACTGCATATAATGCTCATCATAAACTCATTCATCTTTAAATAATTAATTTTTTCATTATAAAAACACCTAAGACTTTTAAAACTTCATATTAACATGTTCATGTTTCATATGTATGAATATCGGAAGCCACCAATCCAACAAAAATATTTTGTAACAAATTTCAATTTCGTAAGAACAAATTTTCCCACGTTCTATAATATTATGTAATATTTAGGTTTTTGTATTATACACTTATACACTTGACAACGATGAAGTTCTTTTGAAAAGTTCTTTAAATAAATACACCACTATATCAATAAAAACAATAAAAAACACTAGTTACTGTTACAAAATAGAGGTTAATGAACATCGGGGGATTTTTTTTTTTTTTTTTTTTTTAATTATCCAGGGTGGGGCATTAATGAAGAAGTAAAAAACCAAGACAAAAGAAAACATGAAGACAATGAACTTGGTAATGTGTTTAACAACTTCCGAACAAAATCACATGTGAGGATTGTACATAAATACCCTCAGTTAGCGTGCGATATATTGTGTTGTTAGTAATAATATATACAACACACACTAGCTATCGTCATCGTAACGTGACTACGAAATTTGTTGCGTGGACATGTCAGGAATTAACAAATAATAATAATAATTATTTGGACGCGTTAGTGTTAGTATTTTTTCTTGTTCATCATTATTGTAATTGCAAATATCAATTTTTAATTTTTATCTGCCGACATAATTCGATAGGAAATGTATATTCTATATTATAGCTGATTCGATACATAGTTTAACCCGAAAATGCTGGGTTTATTTTAGCACACAAACGTAAACATCATCCTCCATATGAAGAGATATATACTTGTAGTTTTCACGGTGTACGAATATCGCATAAACCCTTTTAGAAATTCCGTTCGAGTGTATTTCCAAATTTAAACGTCCCACCTGAAACAATATGAGAGGATCTTGTCTGATAGACATACATACATGTATATATATATATATATATATATATGGTCTCATCAACTGTAAGAACTTATGCGGTCTGCAGCCGTCCACTAAAACTTGTATATATATGCGTTCTATGAAATAATTATTAACTTAAACAACTATTATAATGCATCATTATGTAATATTAAAAATTTGAATTTCGATAAGCTGTTACAGCATACAATATAAATAAAAATACACCGTGAAAGTAAATTCAAACATATAAGCATATATAAACATATATATCAGTAAATACGATTATTTAATTTCTAAAGTAATTGTACAGTAAAGTGTAAGTATTTAAAAAAATATATGTATAGTATATATAGTATGAATTGCCGACAAGGGTTTTATCTTTTTTGTTCTTTGTACAATCATATTAATAAAATTCTTTATTACATTTTCGCAATAATTACATTGATAAATTGTAAACTATTTTTTTATTATATTTTAATTTCATTATGGTGGTAGTCCAGATTGTTTGTGTAATATGGTCTTAGATGTGTTGTATACATATATCA